TGTGTGACTATGAGTGTTGCCCCCTAGTGGCTGACCTGGGCAGCACGCCCCCTTCTGGCCACATTTTCTTCAGCTGATATAGGAGGAAGAATCATCATCATCATCTGGACTTCCTCTAATGATCTGTTGATGGTTCTGTTTGGTTCTGCAGGTTTCTGGTGGAACCGTTTCGGACCTGCTGGCGGCTCTCCGGTCGGCAGGCGGCTGCAGAGCGCTGAGCATCCTGGAGGGGGCGCTGCACCAGAACCCGGACATGGCAGAGGAGGTCCAGAACCCTCCGGTCCAGAACCTGAAGGCGGACCTTGGGAACGACAGCGGCGTCTGCGACAGCGGGGTGGAGCTCTCCACGGCGTAGCGCTCTGATTGGCCAGCATCCTCAGCCTCCTCTTCATCACTCAAAGATTCTCATCTATTTTAAGGAACTGCTGACACAACTGGACCGGGACCGGACCAGGCCGGGTCAAACCGGACCGGACCAGGCCGGCTCGAACCGGACCGGATCGAACCGGACCAGACTGCTGAACTCTGATCTCTACTGACAGGAAAGAAAAGCTTCTTCCTGTTTCTTCCCAGAACCGATGGTGCTACAAACCCTGACCGGGTCCGAACAGGTTGGAACCTCCCTGCTCCAATTGGATCAGAACCGCCTTCATTTGGATGAGAACCACATGATCAGCAGGGAGTCACAGCATCTGGACGCTCATTAGAACATTCTGGACCTGGTTCTGCTGGTCCAGATTCAAACCCAGAACCAGGACAACGGAACCAGAACCAGAGGGGATTATTCTCCTGCTTCCATCTGAAACCTCCAGATTCAGTGTTGGATGTCGTTAATCTGAACCATCGGTCTGAAACCTGGATTAACAGTAAAACCAGCAAATTAATTCACTTAGAATAACTGACGCAGGTTTTTAGTGTAAATTTCCATTGAAATTATCTGGTTGGAATCCATTTTTGTTTTGACATCATTTTCCTTCCTACAGAAAAAAAAATTGTGCTCAATTTTCTTTATTTAAAGCCCTAAAAATAGAAATAAAACGGCGGTCCTTCAAAAATTAGAATATAATTTTTTTTTTTAAAAACTAACATTTGTGGCCTGAGCTAAAACATCTTCATCATCATCACACTGAGATGTTCTTCATCATCAGAACCAGAACCGGCTGTTCTGGACCTGTGGACCGGTTTCATGTTTTCTGACTCCAGAATGTTCTGCCGAGCTTCTCTGCAGCCCGAACGTTCCTCCGCGGACCGGATGCTGGACCGGATTGTGGATCGGGTCATGGACCCTCAGGACCACCTTCTCCTCTCTGCATGTATTAGGATTCATTTCTGAACAGATTCAGTTCTTTTTCATGAACTGAACTTCTGGTTTCTTCCAGGATAAAGGAAAAAAAAAAAAAACACAGGGGATTGTGGGAAATGTAGTCCAGGTGTTGGCGTCCCTGTTTCCGCATATTTATGTCCCGCCTGCGCTGTACAGTTCATCATCATCCTCTGTAACTGGTTGTTCATTTTTTTAAATAAAAGGTTTTTTTATATTTTGAGGCTGATTCGGTTTTATTTACCTGACCAGAACCGACCGGACCCGTCTGCCGGACATGAAATGAAACCAGAACCAGTTTCCATTTGTTCATCTTTATTGAGAAAAACCGTCACAGCGCGATTAGTTGATCGGTTAGCCGCCGGGACCGGAACCAGATCCGGATCGCCTTCCAGTGCAAAAAGTAAAACCAGGAGAACGGATTGGATGATGAACTAACGGCTCTCCTCTAAAGACACAAAACTAGGAACTGAAACAGCTTTTCTCTTTTAAAAACGGACACGGAGTTCTGAGCAGCACAGGAACCAATCACTGACATGCATGAAGGGGCGGTGCCGGCCGGTTCTGCTAGGCCGTGCCGGTCCGGTCCACTCTGAGGCTGCGACTCGTGTCTCCAGCAGACGGACAGACGGGGGTGGGAGGGAACAGCATCACAGTTCAGGATGAGACGAACGGAAACATGAACAAACTGCAGGGAAAGGTGGGCAGAGGGGCGTGGCCAGGCCAGACATGGCCAGGTCCAGCGGGTCACATGGCGTATTTCTGGGTCCAGTCCTGAGCTGTCTTGTTGTACCTGCAGGAGACGAAACAGACGGCGTCAAAGTCAAGGTCTAGGGAGAAGAGGAAGAGGTTCTGAGAAAAAGGATTGAACATGCTTCTCAGTTCATTATGTTACTGCTGCTATATTCATAGAAAGTTCAGTGGAAGGAAAAAAGTGCTGGAGCAGTTTCACAATCCTTGACAGGAAGGTGAAACAGAATCAGTTCAGGAATCTGGTGGAGCTTCACTAGGAGTCAGAACATCCAGAGTCACTGGGCTGCTAGCACCCTGGCTACTAGCGAAGGGGTTGCTGGCAAACTGCATACTATCGCCTTGCTTGCTAGCAATGTGTATGCTAATGAGTCAATAGATTCCATCTGAACAGCATAAATTACAAGTTTAAAAGTGAAAGTAGTTCTCAAAAATTGGAATCTGCTGCAGTGGTTCTGGTTCTGATTGGATCTCATTGAGAAGTTCTGCTTCAGCTTCACAATGGAACCAAGTTTCATCAGGTGTTAGCATCAGGCTAACTGAACTTTGATAGGAACTAGAGAAACAGTTTTAACAACTGGCTGTGTGTGTGTGGGTGTGTGTGTGTGTGTGTGTGTGTGTGCGTGTGCATGCGCGGCAACCCACCTGACGGGGTCTGTTTTGTAGATGCGGGCGATCTCTGGTACTAGCGGGTCGTCAGGATTCGGGTCACATAACAGAGAACAAATGGACAAAAGAACTGCAGAGAGAAAACAGAGACCCAGTTTGGATCAGAACCACTGCCATTTGAACCAGCAGAACCTCCCTGACTGATGCTAGCTGCAGTTATCAGCACCACCTGCTGCTCAACATTCACCAACAAAACATCAACCATCCTGATTCTGATTTATTCCTGGGAATGATTTACACATTTCTGCTGTTTTTCTTCCCGTCTTTGTCTGTGATGCTCCACCCCGCATAAAATTTAACTAGGTTGTTAAACTGTATTTATTTTTTTCTCCTAATTGGGGCCTGCCAGCAATGCATAGGGAGAGCAGTGACTGACCTGCAAAGCAGGTCAGACACTGCCTC